ATCTGTAAAATAGTAAATCTGTAAAATAGTAAAACTGTAAAATAGTAAAACTGTAAAATAGTAAAACTGTAAAATAGTAAATCTGTAAAATAGTAAAACTGTAAAATAGTAAAACTGTAAAATAGTAAATCTGTAAAATAGTAAAACTGTAAAATAGTAAATCTGTAAAATAGTAAATCTGTAAAATAGTAAATCTGTAAAATAGTAAAACTGTAAAATAGTAAATCTGTAAAATAGTAAAGCTGTAAAATAGTAAATCTGTAAAATAGTAAAACTGTAAAATAGTAAAACTGTAAAACAGTAAATCTGTAAAATAGTAAAACTGTAAAATAGTAAATCTGTAAAATAGTAAAACTGTAAAATAGTAAAACTGTAAAACGTAATATGTAAAATTGTACAACGTAGTTAAAACGTAGTATGTAAAATTGTACAACGTAGTTAAAACGTAATATGTAAAATTGTACAACGTAGTTAAAACGTAATATGTAAAATTGTACAACGTAGTTAAAACGTAGTATGTAAAATTGTACAACGTAGTTAAAACGTAGTATGTAAAATTGTACAACGTAGTTAAAACGTAGTATGTAAAATTGTACAACGTAGTTAAAACGTAGTATGTAAAATTGTACAACGTAGTTAAAACGTAGTATGTAAAATTGTACAACGTAGTTAAAACGTAATATGTAAAATTGTACAACGTAGTTAAAACGTAGTATGTAAAATTGTACAACGTAGTTAAAACGTAGTATGTAAAATTGTACAACATAGTTAAAACGTAGTATGTAAAATTGTACAACGTAGTTAAAACGTAGCATGTAAAATTGTACAACGTAGTTAAAACGTAGCATGTAAAATTGTACAACGTAGTTAAAACGTAGTATGTAAAATAAGGAAAACAGATTTTGTAAAGCTATTATTTTTGACAATATATAATTAACGGTAATTATGTCACGCTATTTAACTATATACAATAGTTTCATAATAAATATTTTCAACCCAGA